AATACCCTCTCCATCCAATAACAATGTTGCTGATTAATTTTGAGAGTACCGTGAGTTCCGGTAATAACGTGGATCAGCAACTCTGGATCCGTGTAGGATACCACTTCAGACTGCTTGATATCAAGCTGCAGTGTGATCAAATTTTCACTTGAGATTACTGATCTCAAATATGATATCAAGTGAGAATAGCTTTTAGGACTTTTGCAGTATATATTTAGATCACTTAGAAATATGCATAATATTAAAAAAACAGAAAGAAAATAGCCAAGCACCTTGCCTTGCCTTTTAGAAACACTAGGTTAAGAAATTTAGATATCACCAGTTCAAAAAAAGAAAGTTCTGATTTCTGTTAATAAGAAATCTTTATAGAAATATTTGTGTAATTTGATGTAGCTGTCCAATAATTAGGCACAAGATAAAAAATATGTAATATAAAGATGGCAAATATACATATCATGCTGGGCACGTAAGGTAGAGCGGAACTTAAAGGTCCGCTGATAATAATTTTACAACCATTATCTGAAAAGCAATCAAGTTTTTGAGTTAAAACTGTTGTAACAACAATATAATAATAAGAAAGTAGAGGGCAAAAAATGTGTAATCATCCATCAGCTTAAAACAAGCAACGTCAATAATTTATAACAAAAGTAATTTATTAATAGTTATTCCAACTCTGCTGATGAGAACTTCTAACAAAATACCAGATCAAGGTTATATACAGTGTTATCTTTGTGAAAAATCTTTGTGCCCATAAAATTTATATTGTGCATTGGTTGAATATTGCAGCTATTATTTCATGAAACCCCTTTAAAATTAAAAATAAGCCATTGCATCTGTCCCATTTTACCCCGCCAAAGTGACAAATTTTTGAAAAACAGCAAAAATGAATTAGCTGGAAATTCTACTAGATAAATAGTTGTTTGTTAGCTATGTGTTATTAAATTCCCGTAGGGTAAGTTATTGCAATCGTCCAAAAATCGAAGTTGAAAATTTTTGCATTTCTCGACGTTTTGAAGGTTTATAAACATTTTGGCATACCTCAGAAAAAATGGATGTGTGTGTGTATGTATATATAGATAAAATTTTTCGGTCACGTTTTCGGGCGCACGGATCAACCGATTTCAATGGTTTAATAAACATTTGATTCCTATTGATAGGGATATGTGCTGATTAGTTTTTGGTAAAGGCAGGTCTAGCAGTTACGGAGATAGAAAGCAAAGAGTGCAGAAAATAGAAATCGAGTTTTTGAGAGAACGGAGCATCCGATTTGAATGATCTAAAAAACATTCAATTAGGAATGATTGGGAGAAGTGGTTATTAGTTTTTGGCAAAATACAGAGATGTGCAAAAAATGACAGTTTTTGAGGAAACTAAGCGTCCGATTTAAGTGATTCAAAGAACTTTCTGCTTGTTTCAACAAAATAATTGATTTGAAAAAAAATTTTTTTTGGCAAAAATAATTCAATCTTAATTTTGACTAAAGTTCTAATATACTTTAAACAAATAATTTCAACTTTGCATATCAGTTTATATAATTCTTATAAATATTAGACAATGTTACAATATTTATAATAATCTATCTGAAAACATTCAATATTCCTCGAACATTTTGTTACAGTAAGTTCCAGCAATTTGCCTTAAGGCACGTTGGTTTATTTTTCACAGTACAGTGGCTAAAGGTCCGTATATTGTTATGACTTTTGTGACCCGCGCCACCACTATTTTATGAATGCAAGTTTCAAAATAGATAGCTCCTCAAAATATTAAAAAAAAGTTGGTAACTAAAACCATGATAATTAGCGTCTAAATGATTATAAAACGACAATACTTGAGATAACATGCTTTGTCTATCTAAAGAATAATATTGAGTGATTGATAACAGAAATTCTATTACAACTTCTCCTCAATCAAACTTGGCAAAGCATTCGCGATTGTCAATTATCTGTTAAATATTTCTGATTGTTTCAAAAGTTCTTGTGATATCTAACTTCCGCCTTCCACGATAGCTGCACTTGATATATCATTTATGTATTTATAGCCATTGTTATAGGTTGCACTGTGGTCCAGAGACACGAGATTTTATCTATAGAAATGCTCGCCTAAATGAAATACACAAATATACACTTTCGTAAAAGATCTACGACAACGATCTACATGATGCATTATAAATCAGAACTATTTGTAACATTCACAATTACTTGAAATAGAAACATAATTAATTTAATAAATAGTTATATTACAATGCATATACAAAACATATGAATCGTGACTATCAAATCAAATCATCATCTATCGATCTATGATCTCAAAGCATAAGGTTGATTAATCAAGTATTTAGAGAAATTAATATTACTTACTGTACAGATTTTTCATAGAATATGATCATTAATTTCATTGTCCAAAAAATCATTGGAGAATAAATTAAAACTTATATGAAAAATATAAAATCGCATATAAATTTTTATAAGAATCAATAAGATGAAAAAAGTAACAATACTCTTCAACTTAATCACATTGTTATTGTTAATAAGTATAAAATATTATGGAAAGAAATATATATAGTTGAATTATTTATGCAAAAATATAATACAAGAATCGGCGACTGTTCTTGTTTACGATTTTTCATTTTCATTTTGTTTTTTATGGCCAGCCGAGGCAGCCATTTGAATGAAATTATTTTTAATTATTAATCACTAGGATTGCACTTTCAAATAAAAAAAGAAATCTGAAAAAATATTCAGTCGTTTTATTCATAGCATTTTTTAAGAAAAGTTATTTGTATATGGGTCATTCTTTTACAAATCGTGCGAATCTTGGAAGAAATAAAATGCCACATTTTAGAATTATCTGAAATTTTTTTTCAGACTATAAAACGACTTCAGAACAACTGACTGTATAGTTTTTTTTGACAGTTTTAGTGCCAAGAACGCTATGATACAGTCCATTTTATAAGATATTGTCCTATAAACATGCATATATGCATGTTCAGATCATTTTTTAACTTCCCGAAGAAGAAGTTTGTTTTCATAAAAAAAATCTATTCACTAATTTTATGTTTTCTCGACGTTTCAAGCCATTCTGAATCGAATGAGGCCAAATTTGGAAAAAGTATGGTGTGTGTATGTGTATGTGAACAGATTTATTGCCGTAAATCGACGATTTCTCAAAAACGGCTAAACCGATTTCAAAAATTTAAAAGCCATTCGATGTATGTCGATGAGGACTAGCGTTTATCAATTTTGCACCATAATCTGCCAAGCCGTGTCTTTGTAATTTGCAAAAACTTTTCGTCCAATTTAAGCTCATACTACCGAATCGATTTTAAAAAATCAAAAACTGTTCGAAAAATATTAGTTGAGAATGATATTGATTACTTTTAGGTGAAAATCTACCGAGCCGTTTTCATGTAATTAACTTAATTTGTTGAAAAAACAAATTAAGCCGATTTTATGGAACTCTTTTTGGCGTACATCATGGTCTTATAGAACTTACTGAAATATTACGGCCTTACGACAAGTATTTTAATTTTAAAAATTCATCAAAGTTTGAGAAAATGAGTAGTTTTTTTTTTGGCGTTCGTTAAAATTAAAATTAGACTATTTACTTTGTTTAACGATAGGGTGTTCGTTCGTTTTCAACGATGTGTAATAAATCCTCGGAATACTTTTAATCACTCATGAATTAATCTATCTTTTATTGATTTAGTAGATTATTTACACATATCGAGAAATTCATGTAACTTGCCTCAAGGCAAAATACCAATACCAACTAGTTCTTTTTTAATTTTTAATATATATTTCGTGTAGAAATAGAAATCATTATCAAGATTAACACATTCACATTCAGTTTAGAGTAGTTTTTAGTAAAATGAAATGTTAAAATTTTAATTCTGTACTGCATTTATTTGAAACAGAATTAGTCCTGCTTTTTTGTTTTTTTATTTCCAGCTAACGGGACAGAAATGGTTTTCTTTATTATTGAACGAATGAAAATGTCTAGCACAAAGGAGAGTATAGGCAAAATAAGGTTAGCAATAAACGTGTTAATGCATCATTCAAGAAAATTAGATGAGCTTACTCTATCATGAATATTCACAAAAAAAACGAAAACACTCATTTTGGCACAATTCACAAAAAATGTATAATTGTCGCAAATCCTTATTTTACATTCCACTATATCTACTCTTTATGATCTAATTTTAATGATAAGTTCCTTGCAAAAGGCATATATTTTTTTCAAACTCAACGTCTATGAATTTTCTATTGGGAAATCCTATTAATTTATCTATACCGTATGTGAACTGGGTTGAAGAAAATATTACGATATTTCTATAACTACCTACACCAACGTATTTGTGTAAATTACTATTAGTTTCTGAGGTTGTAATCGGTTGTAATAAATTCCAGTTTCTTCACCAAATATCTTTTCTCGAGTCACACGGAATGGTCAAAGAAACATTTGATTTTCGTCAACAGACGACCGCAAGATATCGAGAATCAAAAGCCGTGAATAGTGAAGTCGCGCCCATGATATGCGCTCTTGGGTGTGGGTGTTAATGCGATTGTCCGCGCCGCTTCTTCCAGGTAACATCTTAGCTCAGACTAACAGATGGTTCATTTATATTCGAAAACAATATATCAAGTAATCCCATACAACACAAACAAGAAAAAATGCATGAGAAAGTAAAATTAAATTCATATGGTCCGGAATGTTACACAAATAGGAATTTGTTGACAAAGGAATACAAAAAATGATGCTAAAGGATCGTATTTTAAAACTACATATTTTGCAAATCACAGTACATATTTGTGGCAATCAAGTATAAAAACCCATTAATACACAGAATGACGAAGTTTTATAATATTACCAACGACTTAGTCGACCTCGAGTGGAGACTTTGATAATTTTTTGTTTTTTAGTTTTATTCTTTCGATTTAGGCTTGTAAAATACATATATGCATATGCCTAAGCTAAGTAATAATGTTAAATAATTAACTTACCAACATCTACGTCCACCTGTATCCATGCGAAACCAAATTGGATATCACCTGTAATAGTATATTATATAGAATAAGTAAAAGGTAGTAGTTCATAATATTGGTAGATAATCATTTGATCAAATAAAATTGACTTGTACAATAAAATAATTAAAATTTCTAATAAAATCATTTAAATAATTTGATTAATTTAGATCAGAGTGTGTTGAAATTTTGGTATTCTCACTGCATCTATTTTATATTGACAAATCATGTTTTCTTCATTATAGCTCTCAATTTCTTGTTTTTTTATTAATTTATTTTAATTATAACCTGTGACACTTAGGACATTCAGTAATAGTTTTATTATATGGATTTTAGAATGGATGACAACCCAGTAGTTGTCCAATCCAGTTATGACTAATTAACTATACTCGAAGTATTTGCTGATATTTCATTTTTTTGGTAATCATGAAACTATCAAAATTCTATACCTATATTATGTATACACGAGCGTTTTATATTTTTGATACTGTCAATGGCTTAAAACTAACTTTCAAATAGTACAAACTATTAACTAACATAAATTTGTCTCGAACTTTGGAGTGCAATGCACGAGTAACTATTATTTTAAATTATAATAATTGTAAAAATTAAAATTATAAAATATTTAAAATGTCTGGAAATTGACCAATATAGAAACTTAACTAAATACGTGGTACATACGCATTTGATTAAAAAAATTAAATTCTAAAACTTGTATAGAAAATACATAGATATCATAGTTATTCAGAATGTTTTATAACAACTTAGTAACTATCTTGTTTTTTATATAATATATAATATTATACATGCATTTTTGTGCATTCGGCGAGTGATTAAAGAAGAATAATGGTCAATATGTTCAAATTAAATAGTTCTTTATAGGAGAAGGTAAATGAGCAAGTTCCGTATGTACTCATTCATTCTAGCAGTACTGATGGTGATACTAATTGAATTATACATTACTTTATCGATAAATTGACGCCTCATTCCAGATTCAAACTAGTTCTATGTTAATCTTATCCTTACATTCTAACAAGAATTAATATGCTTATAGAATTTACATAATGTATATAGAACTCCATTGGAGTTAGCTAAAAATAATATTTTTTATTTCTCATTATTATTATGAGATATCTTTTTCAATTTCTCATTCTTCTGAGCAATGTATTTGCTTTTTGTATTTAGCTACAAAATATTGAAGTAAACAAATACACAGATGATAGCTTGGTATTTTAAAATTATTTCAAGAAATTTGTAGTCATTAACCCTCCGTCGGTCGGATATTTTTACACCTTCGAACGGTCTGAAAGGTCTGGCTGGACCACCATTGATTTTACATGCATTTATATGGGATAAATGAGTTTTTGGTGTCTTATATATTAACGATTATTAGTAGTAAATATTTATAGTTTTGATTTTTTCTTTTTCTTACCGTCTTTTGCATGTGTTGAGCTTGCTTATAATAAAAATATTACATATTATATTATATAAAAAAAACAAGAAATATAAAAAAATCGTTGCCTTTTTTGTTAATTTTTCTGTTTTATATCAATGAATAACTATATTTATTCTTTCTCTGGCTCGTGGCCAGACCACGCCGACCGACGGAGGGTTAAAAATTTATGGTTAGGTATCAGAAGAACAAAATCGCTAGTTTTAACTTTTCATATTTGCTTATTGTAAACAAAATTTCAATTTATGTCAAAGAATCGAAGGCATATGTTTTTGCAAAATGTAAAATCCAGGTAATTGTTGTGGATAATTATAATTTTAACTGATTCCTAGTAGAAATGCATCGTGGAGCAATATTGTTTTTTATGTGGGCCCTATACAGTTTATCAATATTGCCCCAATATTATACAGATAACATTTTCCCATATGGAACCTATATTTAAACCAACCAATATCGAGCCTATATAATATATATATAATCCCAATATTGATAAGCAATATTAAACCCACATTCAAAACCAATATGGCAAATTTAATATAACGAATTATATTATAAGACAATGAATTTACACTTATAAAAAGTGACTACAGTTAAAACAATTCATGATTACCTTTATTTAAATTAGCAGAATAATATATTAACGTAATGTATTGTAATATTAATATATTATCCAATACCGTAATTTCAATTATATATTTTTGATTTACTCATGTTGAATCCTTAGTAGACTATTTCGACTCGGTAATTGCAAAACTTGTTCACTCTTTAATTTTCTAAGTGTAATAAACGAAGATTCATAAAATCTGGTCTGGAAATACGAATAAGAAGTTCAAGTACACAATATTTTACACGACATGAAACTTGGATCTACATTGTTATTTAGCTCAGGGGCACAAACATATCCTTAATTAATATTATAATTTATGCTTCAATACTTCAGGTGTCTGGAGCATGTGAACCATCTTCGACATAAGACAACAAGCGTAGCACTAGCAAGAGCAACTGCACTCGAATCTTATGTGGGTAAATAAACTCCATTCACGAGTAAACATTCAGCCAACAAAATCGGATGCTCGAGTATCATCTTACATAAATGTGAAGCTACAAAACGTACAATGCGACTAAGAAAATAGACATAAAAATGAAAACAATTGTAAGGAAAACATGAAATAATAATAGACACTATTCCCGTAAAAGTTAATTCTTTAGAGATGAACCATAAAAGAAGGATAAATATCTTACAGTCGGGTTTATGTTTAGTTCTGTACAAAATACAGTTACTATGGTATACAATGTATGTATACTATACATCAAGTAAAAAAATAAATCCTTAATTTGATATGCAATAGTTGTCTTTTATTATCTGTATCCCGAATGGTATAAATCCGATTGGGTTCTCCTGGGCGGCGTTAGAAAAATAAGATTTAGTACTAAAAAGTTCAATAGTTTTGATTGATTGACTCAGTTTTGTATGAGCGCGCGTCAAAAATGAACACTGGCAAAGAGATAATATGCTATATTTTACAAGCTGAAAATATAAACATTTATTATGGTCCAGATATTCTAATAGCCAATTAAACGCAATTTTGTTTTCCTCGATTCATTCGGGTAATGTCAATGTCAAGACGCACCTATACTGGAAGGTCACTTGTCGAAAATGTTGGCAAAATCATGGAGTGCAAACGTCATGTAAACCAATTTCGATTGGCGAAGAGCTAAAGACTGCATTAAAAATTGTTTGGCACCATTTAAATAATACTGGTTACAAGCAGAAGCTCGAGGTATAGGTGCCACACAAAAACTTGCTGGATCAAATTTTCATCTACTAATCACTGCTAAAAAGCAAGAAAATCGCTCCATTTTTGAAGCGACTTGTAATGAAAAATGGATCACATACAACGTAAAGCGAAAATTGCCTTCATCAAGTCGTGGTGTGTCGGAAACTGTGCCAAGCCAGGGATGAGATTTGGTGAGATTGGCAAGGAATTATCTCGGCTATTAACTGGGAAGTTAATTATCTACTGCGAGCTATCAACTCGGAACTGTAGGTCAACAATTCAGCCGTTTGAAGGTACAATTGCCTAAAAGCGGCCAACTTTGGCCAATAGGAGAAAAATTATGTTTCATCAAAACAATGCCAGGCCACAAACATGTGGCACGCCAAAAGCTCAAGGAGAGCTTGGTTAAGAGATTTTCTTGCATCCATTTTATAGTTCGACTTTGGCACCAAGCGATAACCATCTGTTCCTGTTCACGGCATACAGTTTTACTAGTAAAAATTTCACTTCAAGAGAGGCTTGTGAAAATCGACTGTCTCAATTTATTGTCAATAGAGACGAGGGTTTCTATGAGACCATAATCATATTACCCTCTAAATGGCAACAATATATAGAAAAAACGGCTCCGTTCGTGTGTGCGTTTTGTAATGAAACGCTAATTAGAACATAAATCGAAATTGGAAATTTTGAGTTTCAATATCATTTTATTAAATTTACGAGTGAAGTTACTTCTCTGGAATTTTGTTTTTTATTTGATGTTCTTTTTATATTTTCAAATTTTTTGGAAACTTTCAAATATTGTATCAAATTTTCAATAATTTAAAATTAATTTTTTCAAAGTTGTTATTTGTTTTAATATTGGTTTTGTATCTAAAAAATATTATATTTTTTAACTTTAATAAAATTATAAAGGTTATTATTTTGAAAAATTTCAATTTTTATAAAATATTCTCGAAACAAAATAATGATGTAAAATGTATTGGATTTACTACATCATTTTCAGCATATAATAGATTTTATTATAAATTATTAAAATATATTTTCACCAATCACAATTGATACTAATTAGCATTTATTTAAAGCAGAAATAATATATAATATTCAATATATAGAAATCGCAATTTATTGACAATTATACAAGAAAAAAATGAAGCTGGTTTAAGTCCTACCAATTTTGTAAAGATAAAATTAGAAAAGTAACAAGAACAGTTATGGTAAATCAGGTACTGATATGTAATTTCACTAGTTTGCCATGAACATTGTTTTTTTGAGTAGAAGAAAACTATTAAAGTAAATGAAGAGCGTAAATCGTTCAAAATTATACCATCCACACATATTAAACCAATTTTCATCACCATATTAATATCAAAACGGCAGGCTCGGCTGTCGATCGTTTCATATTAAATATAAGTCGACCCAATTTCGATTAAGAATGTGGTTTGAAGCAATTTCGTCCGATCCTACGCACCTGTATATACCTACTATCAGCATTGCCGACATAAACTCGGTATTCATACGACGGATATGAATTTAATGCAAATTACTAGTTTCAATGAATCCGAGAGCGTAATAGAATTAATTTCTTGCAATGAGAGCGCCACGGCAACTGGTCCTCAGGATCAACGCCTTCACAAGTTATAACCATGATCAGGTGCAAAACTATAAATTTTATACCAAGTGGTACACCGTTTCGATTTAAATAGTGTGAAGACACTAATAGTATAAAATGTTTTAATATAAATTGCCATGATAGATGGAAGTCTTTTTTCTTCGGACTTCAAGTAAAATCAAATTCT